CGTTGGTGACTTTGTTTGGGCCTTATTTATATAAAGCAATGCTTAACCTTCCTTTTCCACACTTATATGTAATGTCTTCTTTGGAAAACTTTCACTAATGATGTGAAACTGAATAATTTCCTTTTGGCTGTCATCTTGTTTGTCATGTTATTGGACCCAGTTCCCACTCAGTTACTTATCCTGACTTAGCATTAGATGAACATTTCCTATATTTTCCATAGGGACACCCTAATAATCTAAACTGAGACACATTGTTCAGTTTTTAAATTTTTATCACCTAAAACACTGCAATTTTATTATGTTGGAAATTGACTTTTACAAACACTGACCTTCTGACCCTGGTAGTGTGTCGGCTGATGCGTTGGCTGACACACTGGTTGATGTTACCAATATATTAGTAGTGTGTTGACTGATGCACTGGTAGTGTGTTGGTGGTGTGTCGGCTGATGCGTTGGCTGACACACTGGTTGATGTTACCAATATATTAGTAGTGTGTTGACTGATGCACTGGTAGTGTGTTGGTGGTGTGTCGGCTGATGCGTTGGCTGACACACTGGTTGATGTTACCAATATATTAGTAGTGTGTTGACTGATGCACTGGTAGTGTGTTGGTGGTGTGTCGGCTGATGCGTTGGCTGACACACTGGTTGATGTTACCAATATATTAGTAGTGTGTTGACTGATGCACTGGTAGTGTGTTGGTGGTGTGTCGGCTGATGCGTTGGCTGACACACTGGTTGATGTTACCAATATATTAGTAGTGTGTTGACTGATGCACTGGTAGTGTGTTGGTGGTGTGTCGGCTGATGCGTTGGCTGACACACTGGTTGATGTTACCAATATATTAGTAGTGTGTTGACTGATGCACTGGTAGTGTGTTGGTGGTGTGTCAGCTGATGCGTTGGCTGACACATTGGTTGATGTTACCAATATATTGCTAGTGTGTTGACTGATGCACTGGTAGTGTGTTGGTGGTGTGTCGGCCAACACGTCAGTAGGTTTGGAAGAAAAGTTTCAAGTTATTTTTCAATCTTACCCTGAGGATGATATCCTTGATAAAAAGGTCCACTGTGGTGTGTTGAACCGGCTCCAGCATATGGATCCTGATCATTCTCAGAAGATGCCTTTCTGTTCTGACCTGATATTGATAAGAAACGAAACACCACAAAACTGTAGTCATAAAAGTCATCAAGGGTACACTACATGAATTATGTGACAAATGTGTTACAGAGAGCCTAACAGTATGCCAATAAAAGGCCAGTTATCAGTCATAATTACTCTCCTTGATTCAAAAGACAAATTATCACAAATTTTCTGTACTCACTCTGTGGAAAGGTTTGGCTTCCCTGATTATTTGGATTTAAAAAGGCTGCAGGATGATTCCCCTGACAATAATCCACTGCTACAGGAGCAGGCAAGCCATAGCTAGAGGAACCTTTCAATGTAAAAGCATAAAATAAAATTAAATAAACTCTTTTGAAACACCTCATAAGATGCTAAGAGAAAGTTTCCACTTTAACTAATGCAGAGGTATCAGTAGGGTATACCTCTTGTCAGTGATGAGCTTTAAGAAAACCTTATTTGAGGAAACTGTTGACAGTAGTGCTTAGCTTACAGGCGATTGCTACATTAACTGCTGCCATGTAAGTAAGTAAGTAAGTATAACTTTATTTAAACACAAAACATGGATGAGCAAAAAGATGCTTGTTACAAAAAGGTATGTATATACTAACTAATATAACCATGTTAATTAGCAAGGCAAAGAAGTAGAAAGGGAGGCCTGGAAAGAGTAACTAGAACTAGAGAATTCTGTAAAAATCCAACACTCTCTACAAACTCCTAACATACAGTAGCTGGCACATGCTTAACAAAATCATCAACACTGTTTGGTAAAAAATACCTGGTTGTGTTGTCATCTTACCCTGAGGATAACATTCCTGATGACGAAATCCTCCATAATATCTTGAACTGGCTCCAGCATATGGATTCTGACCATGTTTAGGAGATGAATGTCTGTTGTGGCCTGATATGGATCAGAAACCAAACATGCCATTTAGACATTTAAGGGTTATAATTATCTTAATACAATGCTTACAGTGTTGTGTGCACATGGACTTTTCCAATCTCATCATGAAAGTGAAGTAAAGGAAGTCATTAAGGGCATTATACAGACAGTGTAGGACAAAAGATTTAACCAGAGCAACGTTATGAGAAGATGGTGGGGTGGTGATTTAGATTTCTTTTGCTACGAAGTTCTTGGTACTGTGTTGGTGAACACGTTGGTAGAGTGACGGTGGTATATTGGTAGTGTGTCGGCTGATGTGTTGGCTGACACATTGGTCGATGTTACCAATACATTGGTAGTGTGTTGACCCATGCATTGGTAGTGTGTTGGTGGTGTGTCAGTCAACACGTCTGTAGGTTTGGAGGAAAAATTTCAGGTTATTAATTTTTCAATTTTACCCCGAGGATGATATCCCTGATAAAAAAGTCCACTGTAATGCATTGAACTGGCTCCAGCATATGGATTCTGATCATTTTCAGAAGATGGCTGTCTGTTCTGACCTGATATGGATAAGAAACCAAACACCATAAAACTGTAGTCATAAAACTCATCAAGGGTACACTACATGAATTATGTGACAACACAAAGCACAACAGTATGCCAATAAAAGGCCAGTTATCAGTCAAAATTACCTCCCTTAATTAAAAAAAACAAATTATCACAAATTTTCTGTACTCACTCTGAGGCAAGGTTTGGCTTCCCTGATGACTTGGATTTAAAAGGGCTGCAGGATGATTTCCCTGACTATAATCCACTGCTACAGGAGCAGGCAAGCCATAGCTGGAGGAACCTTTCAATGCAAAAGCATAACACAAGTATAATCCACCAGTGTTCTGGGAAATGAAATGTTTTGAAACACCTCATAAGATGCTAAGAGAAACCTTCCACTTTAAGTAATGCAGAGGTGTCAGAAGGGTCTACCCCTTGTCAGTGATAGGTTTTAAGAAAATCTTACGTGAGGAAACTGTTACAGTGGTGCTTACAGGTGATTGCTTCATTAACTGCTGCCATGTTAACTAGCAAGGCAGAGAAGTAGAAAGGGAGGCCCGCAGAGAGTAACTAGAACTACAGAATCCTTTAAAAATCCAACACTCTCCACAAAACTCCTAACATACAGTAGCTGGCACATGCTTAACAAAATCATCAACACTGTTTGGTAAAATAATACCTGGTTGTTTTGTCATCTTACCCTGAGGATGACATTCCTGATTAACAAATCCTCCATAATACATTGAACTGGCTCCAGCATATGGATTCTGACTGTGTTCAGAAGATGGATGCCTGTTGTGGCCTGGTATGGATCAGAAACCAAACATGCCATTTAGACATTTAAGGGTTATAATTATCTTAATACAATGCTTACAGTGTTGTATGCACAATGGACTTTTCCAATCTCATCATGAAAGTGAAGTAAAAAAAGTCCTTAAGGGCACTATACATGCAGTGTATGACAAAAGATTTAATCAAAGCAGAAGCCAAGAAAAAAACTAAATATTTGTCATTTCTACTGTAATTTATTCAAACACCAAATTATCAGAAATTTTCTGTACTCACTCTGAGGATAGTTCTGGCTACCATGATAATTCTGATTTACAAAGGCTTCAGAAAGACTCCCTTGAGTATGATCCACAGCTACAGGAGCTGGTGAGCTAGAGCTAGAAGAACCTTTTGATGTAAAAGCAAAACACAAATTTGATCCAAACCTGCTTTGTGAAATGAAATGGGTTAAAACACCTGCCAAATGTTAAGTGAAAGTGACCACTTTAAGCAATGTAAAGAGGTCAATAGGTTAAACCCCTTCTCAGTGAAAAGCTTTAAGAATGTCAATAAAAGGCCAGTTATCAGTCATAATTACTCCCCTTGATTCAAAAAACAAATTATCACAAATTTTCTGTACTCACTCTGTGGAAAAGTTTGGCTTCCTTGATTATTTGGATTTAAAAAGGCTGCAGGATGATTCCCCTGACAATAATCCACTGCTACAGGAGCAGGCAAGCCATAGCTAGAGG